GGAGTGAAGTGATTATTCCCCTTTATTCAGCACTGGTGAGGCCACATCTGGAGTACTGCATCCAGTTCTGGGCTCCCCATTACAGAAAGGGTGTGGATGCATTGGAGAGGGTCCAGTGGAGGGCAACCAAAATGATTCGGGTGCTGGAGCACATGACCTATGAGGAGAGGCTGAGGGATTTGGGTTTGTTTTGTCTGCAGAAGAGAAGAGTGAGGGGGGATTTGATAGCAGCCTTTAACTCCCTTAAAGGGAGGTTCCAAAGAGTATGGAGAGAGGCTGTTCATAGTGGTGGCAGATGGCAGAACAAATCTCACGTTTCAGTCCTGCCTGGTGACAGTGGGTGCCACTAGGATAAGACACTGCCCCCCCTTGTGTAACATTATTTAAATGTCATATAGCTGGAATGTGAGTATGTGACTCAAGGCTTTACAGCTAATTGCTGCTGCTCTTCCATCTGGCTGCAGAAGAAGGCTTCAGTTTAGACCTACTGAATACCTACAGGCCTTCCAATAGGGTTACAGAAAAACCACAGTGCTACATAGGACCTTTCCAGAGCAAAGACAGCAGGATATGCAAGCACAGATAAATGGAGGTAAATACAACTGTGAAGGGACTTCAACCCTCAACCTTTTGATCCAAAGTCAGACACCTTATCCTTTAGGCCACACATTCTTGTGTTGGGTAACACTGGACTTCTTCAAAAGCAGCGAGGAGTCCTGTGGCACCTTATAGACTAACTGAAGTGTAGGAGCATAAGCTTTCGTGGGCAAAGACCCACTTTGTCAGATGCATGTTATGCATCTGACGAAGTGGGTCTTTGCCCACGAAAGCTTATGCTCCAACACTTCAGTTAGTCTATAAGGTGCCACAGGACTCCTCGCCACTATTTCATGTTTAAGAAGCTAGAAAGGACATTTCTGTAATTCGGTTGGGTTCCATGCTCTTGGTTCAACCCTATTGGAAGCTCTACCTCTCAATGAGACAATTTTTCCTCCATTTCTGGACAACTTTATTTTTGCAGTGGAGAGCTGCTGTGGTTGGAGATTTGTGCCAGCACAACCTGACCATGTGCACCCATCAATATTTAACGGTTTTCTTTTTCTAGACACATACCATGGACAAAGCAGAAGGAAGGAACCAAACGCCAATCATGGAATTCATCATTTTAGGATTTGGGATTGGCTCGGAACTGCAGCCCCTCCTCTTCCTGGTGTTTCTAGTGATATACATTGTGATTGTGGCTGGGAACCTCCTCATCATTGCGCTAGTTGTGTCTGATCACAACCTTCACACCCCCATGTACTTCTTTCTGGGGTGCTTGTCTTTCCTGGAGATCTGTTACACTTCCGTCTTCCTGCCCAGGCTGCTGGATGGGCTCCTGACTGGGGAAAGGACCGTTTCCGTTCAGGGCTGCATCATGCAATTATATTTTTTTGGCGGCCTGTCAACTACAGAAACTTTTCTTCTCACGGCCATGTCGTATGATCGCACACCCCCATGTACTTCTTTCTGGGGTGCTTGTCTTTCCTGGAGATCTGTTACACTTCCGTCTTCCTGCCCAGGCTGCTGGATGGGCTCCTGACTGGGGAAAGGACCGTTTCCGTTCAGGGCTGCATCATGCAATTATATTTTTTTGGCGGCCTGTCAACTACAGAAACTTTTCTTCTCACGGCCATGTCGTATGATCGGTATCTAGCAATCTGCCACCCCCTCCGTTATGCTGCTCTGATGAATGGCCGGGTGTGTGGCCACATGGTGGCAGCGTCCTGGATAGGTGGCTTTCTGGTTGTTACCCTCGCAAATAGTTTCTTGTGGCAATTAACGTTCTGTGGTTCCAGAGAAATTGACCATTTCTTCTGTGACTTTTCACCCATGATCAAGCTGTCCTGTGATGACACTCGCACTGTGGAACTAGTGACAACTATTGTTGCTGCCATAGGGGCACTTGTGCCCTGTCTACTGACCCTAACGTCCTACGTGTGTATCATCACCTCCATCCTGAGGATCCCTTCCAGCACCGGGAGGCAAAAGGCCTTTTCCACCTGCTCCTCCCACCTCATGGTGCTGACGGTTTTCTACGTGGGTGTGATCACTGTCTATGTGGTTCCCATAGCCAGCACGTCCAAAGCCCTGCACAAAATATTATCTGTCTTCTACATCGTATTGACTCCCTTGATGAACCCCGTCATCTACAGCCTGAGAAACAAGGAGCTCAGGGAGTCCTTGAGAAAAGCTGTTCAGAAACTGGTTGCTTATGGAAACGGACATAGAGAGTTCCGGGACACATTTTAGCACGAGTAAAATAGAGATCAAGTAATATAATTTCTTAGATACGGACCCATTTCATTCCTTGAAAAGTTTCCTTTCTCTCTCTCTCTGTGTCTTCTCCCCCATCTTTTGGAGAATTATCTTTCATACATTTCTCTGTAAAACACTTTATATCATAAAAGATATTCTTTATGAAAACAGGGCTTGTTTTACGATATACATCTCAGTAAAGTACTCTGCTTGAGTTGTACATGAACGAACTTTACAGCCAAATTTATGCAGGGTGCACAACAACTTTTCCATAGTTTTGAGTCTTTTCCACCCCATTTGAAGTCCAGGGTGTTCATTCTTCACTTCTTAGGCCCTTTTGTTATCAATTGGGTGTCTCAAAAATAGATGAGTAATGTTGCAGCCAAAGTGAATGGAGAACTTGGACTGATTATTATTCTGTGCAGATCTGTAGCTGGGGAAAAAACCCAAAAAATAGAGTTTGTGGTGAATTGGGGGGGGGTCTCAGTCACCTTCCATGTGAAATTTCCTGCCCATTCATACATCTATTTAAGGCCCAGGGAACACTAAAATAGCGAAATCTCTTTCAATACTGAAATCAGTTTCATTATATAGAATGTCAACAGATGTCTGGCCAAAACGTTCAAAGCTGATAAAACCTGATTTACCTCCCTGACTCAAACTGAATGCAATGAATGAATTTAAACAAAGAGATAATAAGCACCCAAAATCACTAGGGATGCCTCTACACAGCACCCTAAACTCGAAATAAGAAATGCAATTTGCCGTACACAAATTGCATGTCTTATTTCACAACTATTTTGAAAAAGGTTATTTGAAATTTGGCACGTCTACGCATCGCCAAATTTTGAAATAACTCACTATTTCAAGCCATACCTTATCCCAAAATAACCATGCAATGTAGAGATACTGTAGGTGACGTTGCAAATCACACCCTTGACAGTGTCACATGAGCCTCCCTTACTCAACACCCAAATGCACTATACCTATTCAAATATTTTACCACCAAAGTGTGAACAAAATACTAAATAAGGAATAAAAACTCATTGAATCTCCAATTTCTTCACATCTTCTTTGCAAAGTGGTGCCCGGAACAAGACACAATACTCCGAATGAGGCCTAATCAATGCAGAGTAGAGCAGAAGAATGACTTCTCGTGTCTCACTCACAACACTCCTGCTAATGCATCCCAGAATCATGTTTGCTTTTTTTTTGTAATAGCATCACACTGCTGACTCATATTTAGCTTGCGGTCTGCAGGACTCCTTCCTACATAGTCACTTCCCATTCTGCATGTGTGAGACTGATTGTTCCTTCCTAAGTGGAGCACTTTGCATTTGTCCTTATTAAACTTCATGATCCACTGCTTAGCATAGTCGATTTTCAATTATGCCTCTGACAATTAAGTGAAACATTGATTCCACAGTGAGGGAAGGACGTTCATTGAGCTGTGTGCTCTGTAGCTCTGCAGTTGCAGAGACCTAAACTGAGAATCTGCAGAGTGTCGGGAATTTCTGTGTCCTGCCGTATGACATTTGATGCCATGTCATACAGCTTTGCTGGATCAAGGCAACAATAAATATCTATATCTGTGTCAATGCGCATACCAATGTTAATGTCTCGACAGCTAGAGGAAATGTAAACCTAAGAGTTTTCAAAGTTCGTGAGACCGGAATTCCTCTCTCAATCACATAAATAAGAAAAGTTTGAGTGAAAATGAACAGGAAATGAGCAAATACTCCAGGCGACTTTGCAAATCTGCCTAGACGATATCACATGGGCCTCTTTTCCCCCTGACAGAAATGCACTAGGTTCAAGATGATATTTGCCACTGATGTTGGACAGAAAAAAAAGAAAGAAAATAAAATCTCAATGAGACTCAGTGGTGTTTGTGGACTTCCAGCAAATTTTTGGTCAGTGTGTGTTTGAGACTATATTGTGATTCCCCTGCTCTCTGTTTGACCGGTTAGGTGCCCACTGCTTCCCTGAAATCAGTTTGACAACTCCCTTTTACTTTTCTTGGATGCAGGCACATGTGGGGTGCAGAGAGAAAGAGGGGGATGCATTGCTGGGGGCTTCAGGTATCCACCTGAATAAATCTTTTGGACCAAAATAATGCATGAGGTTCACACAAACAAGCAGAATATTTTCAGAAAAGGCCATCAAAAATGTCACATTTTGTGGACCCTGATTTTCAGCAGGTTTCACTTTAGTAATACTGATAGGAAAAAGTAAATGATGCAGCCATAGGTGGTGGCAGGAGAAAGGACCAGGGTTATGTCACATAAAAGCCATATGTAGGACTGAAGGGGTTAAATTTGTATTCCTCTAGGCAAGCCATGAACCCTTCTGGTGAAAATACCAGGGGTTCTTTATCAGATGGTCTTCTTCAGCCTCAACTCCCTATCCTTGCTAGCTGAGAACTAAGTATGGGATAAATAACATGACCTCTGCTCTCAGAACCCATGGGAACATAAGGCATGTCTATACTAGCCCCCTAATTTGAACTAGGAAGGTTAATGAGGGCAACCGAAATTGCAAATGAAGCACAGGATTTAAATATCCCATGCTTCATTAGCATGTTCCTGTCCGATCGCCTCATGGAATGGAATGAGGTTTAACTGTTAATTCGAACTAAGGGGTTTATCTCGGAATCCTGCTTCCCTGCTGAATGTAGACGCGGGCAGTTATTCCGGGCTAGTCAGTTTCCAAAATGGCAACCGGCCGGGAACATGCTACTGAAGCACGGGATATTTAAATCCTGGGCTTCATTTGCTATTTCCATCACCCTCATTAGCCTCCTAGTTTGAACTAGGGGGCTAGTCTAGACGTACCCATAGACACTGGCATTGGGACAGTATGCACACATCTGGTAAACAACTGGGGTGCATATAGACTGGCAAAATTTTGCAGAAAAGCGGCCGCTTTTGAGCAAAAACTTGCCGCCTGTCTACACTGGCCGCGAGTATTTGCACAAAAACACTGACTTTGTACTGTACAAAATCAGTGGTTCTTGAGCAAATCCTCCTATGCTCCAGCTCAGGAATAAGCCTCTTGCGTAAGTATTCTTGCGCAAGAGTGCCAGTGTAGACAGCCAAGTTAATTTCTTGCAAAAGAAAGCTAAAATGGCCATTGGAGCTTTCTTGTGCAAAAGAGCATCTACACTGGCACGGATGCTTTTGTGCAAAAGCAAATCTTTTGGGCAAAGGCACATGCCAGTATAGATGCTCTCTTGCGCAAATACTTTTAACAAAAAAACTTTTCCGTTAAAAGTATTGGCACAAAATCATGCCAGTCTAGATGCAGCCCTATAGTATAACAGGGAGTCCCTTGTCTGGTGAGTCTCACCAGGGACCTGGACCTTGGAGGGTGCCCTGGATCCCCCCTGGAGCCACTGTGGCCTGGTGCGAGGTGACAGGAACGGGACTCGCTGCAGACTGAAGGGGTGCAAGCATTTCTAAGTGCCTGTTACTCTTCTTTTATGCATTGCTCTGCCTGTGCTTATTGATCAGTCACTTTGCAGTATCTGTGTAACCATCCGGCAGTATTAACCCTGTAATAGTAGCGACATAGAGAGATTAACAAACACAATTATCCCTAATCGATTCTGTCTTGACGCGAATCCATAACCCTGTTTGGCCATGGCCCTGTGAGGTGTCAGGCTCTAAAGCCAGCTGCCCAGCTCACTGTGTGTATTTTTATAGGCTCTATTGAAATGGGACTTCTCGATCTAGGGCCTCCTGGCCTGGTTAAAATGGAAGCCCAACATACAATGTTCCTTTATGGTCAGATTTGGTGTCCTACAGTCTATCGAGATGCTGGAGAATATCAGACATGTCCAATGCCTCAGAATCTCACTTCCATTGCACCGGTTCAAATATGGAGTAATTTCCCCTTAATCCATTTGGGTTTATTTTATTGGCCCCAGGCTCACTGTGTCAGAGATGAACACACACTGGTTCAGGTGGACCATTGGTTGGACCAGAGTGTTGGAAATTCACAGCAACTTATTAGTGATTTTTCAGATAGGGACATGACTAGTGCTGTTGTGAATTAAACCCAAAGGTCCTAATTGCAAACCCTCCATCCCTACAGGGATATATTAAAGAAGATGCAGTGTAGAGTCCATCAAGGAATTCTTGCATCGTGTTTATACATTAGCTCTTGAAACTCCCAATTCCCCAGTTGTTGCTAACAGGCAGGCTCATGGGGCAGGGGACAGTCAGCTGGACTTTTCACTGATCTGAATCCAGGTGCTTTTGCTGAGGTCCAAATGACAGTTAAAGGTGATGGCCATTTGGTAGCTTTTGCCCATTTCATTCTGGACACTTGTTAAAAAAATATGGCTATAACCCCAGCCCTAGAACATGCATGAGGTCAACAGATGGAATGAAGCTGACTCCTATTGGAATTTGACCTATTCCTCTGTGAATCATAGAATCATAGCACACTAGAACTGGAAGGGCCCTCGAGAGGTCATCGACTCCAGTCCCCTGCCTTCACAGCAGGACCCAGTACTGCCTAGACAATCCCTGCTACATGTCATTAGTTTGTTAATCACTCTATAACTTCGATGGGGTAACAGACATTTCTGCTCCACATTAGAATTCTGAAAGTCAGAGCAAATTTGTTCAGGATACAATAAAATGTAGACAAACTATGGAGCCTTTGCAACCAATAGGATTTACGTTACTTGAGAAATCCTAGGAGGTGCCTAAATACCTTTAATTTTACCCTATAACTCATTAAAGTAATAGAGCTTATCCCCCATCTTTGAAATTAATAAAAAAATTCTATGCATTGGTCTAAAATTGATCCACAGAATGTCTCAGGTCCAGTGGAGGGCAACACAAATAATTAGGGGACAGGATCACATGACTCACAAGGAGAGGCTGAGGGATTTGGGCTTATTTAGTCTATAATGCACTCTGCTCTCTTGGGTGTGCAGACTTTTCATCCACCAAAGCATCTCCGACTGGCTCTCCTGCTGTCAAAGTCCTCTTTTTGCTTTTATTACCCCTCCTGCCATGTTCTACGTAACTGATTGGAAAGTTATGGGGAAAAATCAACGTTACATAAAATTAACTCCCACCTGCAAGGAGAAAGAAAACCTCTTTTTCATGCACCTTTGGGAACTGCCTTCGTGTGCTACTCACCATGCAATAACATAAGACAGCCCGACTTCAGGGGAGCAAAGTGACATTACTTTATTATGTAGAGTTCACAGCCGTGAGCAACAATAACCCAAAACCTGAGAGGCAAAGCAGGCTGCTCCCCAAAATAGAGGGGCATAACTCTAGGCTGGCTGGCTGCAGAATGAGGCATGTCTACCACGGCATTTATTGCCATCCAGAGCTCCCCAGTCTGCAGCCGTGAGCAGAGAAACACCTTTCCATGACGGTGAGAGCCTGTCCATTCCACACCGCTCCCATTGTTGGTGACAATGTTTCCTGCATCCCGGCAGTAGTTGGGTCAGGTAGGAAAAGAAAGGAAGAGTCCCCGTTCTCACAAGAGTGTCTTAAACCACAAGACAGCTAGTCACTAAAAGAAAACACATTGAGTATGTATTTCTGCCCAGCCAGCTGTTCTGTGGCAGATGACCCTTGAAGCTCAGTCAACCACTGATTATCCATTTTTCTGGCAGTTCTGGAGAATAAAATCCTGAGCAACAAAGCCATAAAAGCATTCTCACTGCCTCTCAGCTGATGAGAATGGATAGACTTTGGGCCAGGAAGCAACTCCAAGGATGACTGTGTAGCTTGGAAGCTAAGATGCACAATTTGTCTGTAAGAGATTGAAATTCAACTCCCTGTTTCAATAACTGATTAATAATTTAAGCCAAATGCCATCACTTTAAGGAGAGAGAGAGAGAGAAAGAGAGAGACCGAGAGAGAGAGAGAGAGAGAGAGAGAGAGAGAGAACACAAGCTAGGGCAGAGAGTTTTTCAATTCAGAAGCTGTGAATTGATCTTTGCATCCCGGTCTGGATCCCATAGTGCCTCTTGGTGGGCTTAGTTGTGATTCCCTGTCACAGAAATTAATGTCTCTTCTGCTTGTTAATTTCTCTTTCATACCAGATGATGCAATCACCCTTCATATTTCTGCAGATGAGAACTGAAAATCATTGCACAGAGGAAAGTGAATATTTGTTTTAATAGGAGAAATAAAGTACACGACGAGGCTTCTTACTAACCTCAAAGGGGAAGTCATTGAAAACAACATATTCAAAAGGGGGAACAAGAGAAGGGGAACTAAAAGCTGCCAACACAAAGCTCTAGAGAAAAGGGAAGGTCACATTTAAAAGTCAATTAATAAACAGAGAACTTCTCTTCTCAGTGGGAATCACTGTTAATCTTATGTATTAGATCAGTAGATCTTCTAAAACAAAAGGAATCACCGTTCATCCTACTTTGTTGTAAGAAGAAAGTTAAATGATCTCAATGTTAAAATTAAATGATCTCAATGTAGAAAAGTTCTTGTCTAACGCTCCCAGGTCAGTCAGATCTCTGGATATGGAACTCCAAACACACACCAAGAATAATGGTAAACTGCCACATGAAAAGTGTTGCAATCTCCTTGTTGAGGTTGGCTGTGATTTTTTAAATCAACCAAAGGGAATTAAACATCCAACAGCCTTTGACTGTCAAAGCAAGTGAAGCACCTAACCTTCTATGCGCCTTTGAAATTCCCCACCGTGGTGCCTGTTGACCTAACACCCATCCTTCTGGTGTCTCTGGAGAGCGAGGGGTTCCTTCTCCCACATTCTGTGGGAACGTGCTGGGTATATGGGATGGGAGAGGTGGAGATGAAATTTTTTTCTGACCTTAAACATATTGCAGGGCCGATAACACTTCCACGAAAACCACACCTTTGTGGGATAGATGCAGCCTATGCATCCTATGGGACCTTTGTAGTGTAGACATCCCCACATCTCTGGAGTTTCTGGCTTGAAGGAGCTGGCAGGGCTGTGGTGTGGAGTTGTGGGGTTGTGGAAGGGTGCGCCCCAATAGACATGTTCCTGGGGATTGTGAGCATCATTGCAGGGCCCTTTCCTCAGTAACCTACACTGAACACCTTTGAGGCCTGTTAATGATTCCTTCACATCGTGACTTGGCCTGCCAGCCAGGACACTTAGTTCCGTCCTTTCAGGTGTAAAACAAAGAGCCCAGCAAAACACAAAGAAGAAATTCTTCTGCCCTTGCTGAGTGCAATTCTTTTCAAAGCCTTCAAGGCCTCTCCCAGGGGCTCCCAAATTATGTCCTTACCCACTGCAGAGTGTGTCCCCCCAGGCCTTTCATTCTGAAGGCGCCTCTCCCCCAAGTCCCTGACCCTCAGGGCTGCTCCCTAGAATCCTGCTCCCCTGCTGCCCTTCCCCCTTCTGGGCCAATCTCTAAACCCCCACTCGGCTAGTCCCAGATCTGTCGGCATCTACCCTCAACTGGTAGCCGGCTATTTGTAGTCACGTTCTGAGGGAGCTAAGGACTCTGTCTCCCAGCTAAGGACTCTGTCTGGACCAGGCCTCTGGACACACACAGGGCAGCAGGCAGTCCAGAAGTGGCAAGCACAGGAACTGAATAAAACACTGAGGCCGGCTGCAAGGAAGCTCCCAGAAGGAGAAGTGCCAGATAGTTCTACTCAGCTTGGAGCACGGGGAATGAAACAACAACAACAACAACAAAAGTGGCCCTAGCAAAAGAACTTGCTGAGTTATAAATAAGGGCTCCTGGAGGGAGGAGACAGACATGCCCTTTCTCAAGCTGGGGAGTGGGAGGATCTGGCTACCAGGGAAGCTGGAGTCTTCCTGAGACAGAGCAGGGCTGAGGGGAATGTACTGTGGGCTGCTCTCCTGCCTAGGCTGAGAACACTAGGGGTGGAGACAGAACAAGGCTGGGGAAAGGCAGGAAGAGCTGGGGGGCTCTGGCCAGGCAAGATCCCAGGCTGTAGGGCCTGAGGTAAGGCCTGAGTAGGGCTACAGGGAGGCAGCCTGGATAGGCAAAGGCAGCAGGTCCCCGCCCCTGCCAATGAGTCAGGCTGCCATTTGCCACTGAAGCAGGGGCAAGATGACAACCAGCCTTGCACCACCGAAGCAAGGCGGGTGTAGGGGGATTGGGGATTCTCAGGGGGGAGGACACTAGAGTGCAGGGGCACAGACCAAGGTACCAGTTGGGGTGACATCAGCTGAAAGGGGGCACTCCAGAGCTGAAGAGCTAGTTCTCAAAGTGACCAGCAGGAGGCACTCTTAGGGGGGTGAGCTTGCCCCATGATGCCTGCTCTTACATATCTCCAGGGATGGAGATTCCACAACCCCCCTAGACAATTTATTCCACTGCTTCATCACCTGCACAGGTAGGAAGTTTTTCCTAATGTGTCCAACCTAGAGCTCCCTTGCTGCAGTTTCAGGCCACTGGGCCCAAAAATTGGCAGTAGGAAAGGCTTTGGTAATGGATACAAATTGCAGAATGCTTTGGGAATGAAAATGATAGGCACAATGGTAAAATAAAGACTCTTGTGAAGCCCACACGCAAGATTGCAGGAATCATGGCGTTTGAGGTCATGTGGCCCAACATTTCCAGGCGTTTCTCCATGGGTGTGTCACGTAAAATCCTTTTATGATCCGAGCCTGAAGTACAATGGTTGCAAGAAAATGTAGGGTTTGTCTTCTTCAAAACTTTCAGCCCTTTGTTGTATTTTATCCAGATAATCCCATATCCTTCCCTCTTTCTTTTTCGATTGATCTAAATTATGACTTCCACCAAGAACGACCTTACTTTGGTGTTCATGGTAGCTCATCAGTACCTCCCTACCCCCATGTACTTCTTCCTGGAAAAGTTTTCCTCCTTGTGGACCTGCTGCAGCTCTACCATCCAGGCCTGGCTGCATGCAGGTCTCACTGCCGTGTGGCGGCTGTTTCACAAAATATTATTTATGCGCTTATTTGGCAGTGCAGAGAGGTCTTAGAAGAAATATTTACTAATGTGTAAGCCAATGTGTTATGTTGAATTCATGAGCAAAAGCTAGCACCTTGATCCTGGATAATTGGAGTGCTGAGTAGTGACATAGAAAGGTTTTTGGGACATTGATAATGCTGTGTAGAGTAATATCCCAACTTCTCCATTCACTGTGAAAGCAACATATCTCACCTGATAATAAAGGATATCATTAATAACAGTGTTCTAAGCAATGGCTAATAAAAGTTACTACATAGTGTGGATGTTAAAGAAATGCACAATCACTCAAAAGATGTTTAGTTCCCACTAGACATTTTTCTTCTGTTTTGCTGTCTGGAAGTTTTGGAGGTGTTTTTTTTTCTTCTTCTTTTCTCCTGCTTCCTTGGGTAAAGGCAGTTCAAACCAAACCACAAGATAAAGAAAAATTATCTTGAACACTATTGGATTTACTTTTCCTTACTTCCAGTTTTGTTCTCTTTGTTCAGTTCACTCCCTTGGGTCATGGTAAGCCTGCCTGGGTTTAAACTATTCTGTGTCTCTCAACTCCTGGTTTTTCTCTCCCACACGAAAAAAAAAGGAGGCAAGGATCCTCTATCCAATTCAAATTTTAACTCTCTATCTCGATTGGTTCTCCTGCTCTCATGGCCAACACCCTTGCTTGCTACCTAAGCATAATCCCTCAATCACCGGAGGGATCAGCACTCCTCCTCTCCATTATATCTATTTTACTGTGTACTAAATCGTGTCCCTTCACCTTCTGTGCCTGTTTCTGACAGCAGCCAGTTTCAGAAGAGCTTTTCTCAGGGACTCTTTGACCTCCTTGTTTCTCAGGCTGTAGATGATGGGATTGATCAGGGGAGTTAGGACTGTGTAGAAGACAGAGAATAGTTTATGTAGGACCTTGGGAGTGTTGGTTGTTGGAGCCACATAGACAGCAATGAGAGTCCCATAGAAAATTATTACCACGATGAGGTGGGAGGAGCAGGTGGAAAAGGCCTTTTGCCTCCCTCTAGTGGAAGGGATTCTCAGGATGGTGGTGATGATGCAAACGTAGGACGTCAGGGTCAGGAGACAGGGTACCAGGGTCACTATGGCAGAGATAATAAATGTCACCAGTTGCACTGACCGGGTGTCACTACAGGACACCTTTACGACAGGTGTAAAATCACAGAAGAAATGGTCAATTTCGTTGGAATCACAGAATGTTAATTGGAACAAGAAAATATTGACCATGGTGCAGAACAGAAAACTGCTGATCCAGGCCCCTGCCACGAGCTGGCCGTAGTGGAGGGGGTGGCAGATGGCTAGATACCGATCGTATGACATGGCCGTGAGCAGCAGATTTTCTATCGCTGCCATGATACCAAAGATACATAGTTGCACCAGGCAGCCCTTAACAGAGATGGTCCTGTCCCCAGTCAGGAGACTGGCCAGCATTCTGGGCAGGATAGTTGATGCATAGCAAGTCTCCAAGCAAGACAAGTTGCCCAGGAAGTAGTACATGGGGGTGTGAAGGTGCCGATCAGCCACCACTAGTAGAACAATAAGAATATTCCCAGCCACGGTGGCAAAGTAGATCATCAGAAACACCAGGAAGAGGAGGGGCTGCAGTTCAGGGCCATTCCCAAATCCTAAGAGAATGAATTCGGTGATGGGTGTTTGGTTTCTTCTTTCCGCCATCTCCATAATATGGATCTAAGAAAAGAGAACCGTTAAATATTGATGGGGTGCCCCCAGCCAGGACCTTGTGTCACTTACTCTAGTGGAGACCTGGCGTAGGAACCCTTACGGCATTGCAGTTCACCGATGGGAAAATGATGGTGCTAATAAGCTGATGAAGACGTATCTCATTAAGTGATGGAGCTTCCAATAACCTTGAACCAAGAGTGTGGAACCCCATTGGATTACAGAAGTGAAGATTTCGAGGGCGGGATTATCATACCAGTGTCATGACAGAGGACATAACAGATAACCAGTAATTGGGAAAAGAGAGAGATTTGTAGATCAACCACTGGTTCATCTACTCTGCAGTTGGGAGGCATAATACCAAACTTGGGTAGACCTTCATGCTCTAGGACTGATCAAGCTTACAGGATAAAATTATCAGGGAAACCCGGCAGCATGGACAGCAGATTAGAGACCCACGTGTATGTACCTTCCTTCTGCAATGAGGATCATTCACAGGCAGCTAATCTGTGCTGCCGTGGCTACAATTCTACTTTTAGCAGAATAGGTCAAGGAGAGATAATGGCTCTGTCGGTGCCCAGAACCAGTATAGATACACAGTGTAACACCAACGAGGCTCTGCTCTGTGGGAAGATCTTTCCCTCTGTTCTCTGCCATAGCAGATTCAAGGAAAAATTTCCACCACATGAGAGGTGCCTCCTAGAACAAGACGAAGGCACATCAAAAAACCTAAATGCACACCACAGACTGTTAATTGGATCTCAGCCACAGCCGGGTAACTTTTATCAGCTTTGCGTGGGTTTAAAGTAATGCATCTAAGATCAGAATCCAAGCTTTTGTTTTAAAAAATGGATATGTGGGGAAAAAACTCAACAAGAGAGAAATGAGAAAGAAGGGGGGGAAAAGGGTGTGTGGAGAAAAATTTGAAAAAACTGGAGAAAGAAGACAGAGAACTACAGATAGGATGAGAAGACAGAGAGAAAATGAGAGATTGCTTATTTCTCCAAATAACATTTTAACCCAAAAAATATCCATGTGAAAGAGAGGTAGCAGATTCTTGCTGTTAAAGAATCGGTTGTCTGAAATCTCTTGCTTACTTTTACCCTACACACATCTCGAGATAGCCCATCTTCGATCACTTCAGCCACTGATGTATGAGGTGTCCTTTTGACTATGTGTACCATGGGAGGGACCATGGCACACTGATACCAGTGCAATTTAAACTGGAGCAGAAAAATATATATCCAGATAAACACACAAACAGATGAGAGCAGATTTAAAAAAAAATTACAAACAATAAAACTCATATCTGAGGACAAAAACAGTCTTGTGTAAAATGAAACACGCACAAGGAGAAAATGAACTACACAAATCCATGGAAGTTAGGTCCATCAGTGGCTGTCGTACCTCGGTGTCTTGTACCTCGGTACCTTCGGTGGTCTAAACTGTCAGCGTTAGCGTCGTCTGGTCAGGGTCATCCTGGTGCACTCTTGGCAGGACCTCTACTCTGTCGGTGATGAGAAATTTTCTGCGTAACAACTCCCTTTATCTAGAGTGTTAGACCCCGTGCACTTTACTTCAACACAGGAGATCTCTGAGAGGTGCCGGAAACGACATATGCAGGCAAGGTTTGAAATCAATTGAGCAGGTTTATTGTCAAATGCGAAGCTCTGCCAGTTGGTAACAGAGATCAGCACAATGTTACACCGCAGGGCACTACGGCCCGCGTTGACAAGGTACCAACACCGGGCAGGCCTATTGCCATAGAACAGATATTAACAGCAGTTAGTCAAAGATAAGCTACTGTGCATTCTGTAAGTTTAGGCAATAACACCTGCCGTTCAGGCGCCTAGTGCACCCACACAGGTCAGCCAGAGAGCACCTTTTGCGGTGTCCTTTTATAGACAGGTACAAACAACTTACATCACTTCTTTATGTACAAGATTACCACCCTCTGTTGCCTAGTTACCACCCCTCACCTTACGGAAGGGGGGCTTACTGACTATCCTTCATGCAGTCAATCTCGACCTGGTCCTGAACCTAGGTCCGTATGTGTGTTCGTTTTTAGGGAGTCTTTGTACCGGGACATTCCTTAAGATGTTCCGTTACTCCCCATTGGCTTACAGTCTGTACTTGGTGCTTTCCTGTGTCCTTCCCTGCTTGACCTAACTTACACAATCACACAGTTATCAGTAGGGCCTCTTTCTTGGCTCCTGTTACTGAACCAAAGTCTTACTCACTAGATTGCAGGCCTGTTGCTGTTTTCATGTTACAGGCCTCTATTCAGGCCTGCTGACTCCATGTTACTGACCCTCAACTTACTACAGTGGCTATTAGCCAGGATGGGTAGGAATGGTGTCCCTAGCCTCTGTTTTTCTGGAAATGGGTGACAGGGGAGGGATCACATGATGATTCCCTGTTGTGTTCCTCCCCCCCTCTGGGGCACCTGGCATTGGCTGCTGTCGGCAGACAAGACACTGGACAGGATGGACCTTTAGTCTGAGCCATGTTGCCAGTGCCTAAATTCTAAATCTGAGTCCCATTAGGCATGTTTTTCTATAACCCATCTAACTTCCTATCCGTCTTCCCTTTCTTTTCCCTGGGGTTGAACCAGCAACCCTATTCTTTCTGACAAGGTACATGCCTGAGCATGTGCTGTTTTCTACATTTATTGTACCTCAGCTGATTTACCTTTCACGCTGATGTTCTCTTGCACGCTGATTCGAGCCTCGAGCCCTTCCTTCAGATTTCCTGAGGCAAATCTTGGCGCTACATTTTATGACTCCAAGATCTCACCAAACTAAGTGATTGGGCAACAAAATGGCAAATGAAATTTAATGTGGATAAATGTAAAGTAATGCACATTGGAAAAAATAACCCCAACTATACATACAGTATGATGAGGCCTAATATAGTTATAACTAATCAGGAAAGATCTTGGAGTCATCGTGGATAGTTCTCTGGAGACGTCCATGCAGTGTGCAGCGACAATCAAAAAAGCAAACATGATGTTAGGAATCATTAAAAAAGATATGGAGAATATTTTACAGCCCTTATACAAATCCATGGTATGCCCACATCTTGAATACTGCATACAGATGTGGTCTCCTCATCTCAAAAATGATATACTGGCATTAGAAAAGGTTCAGAAAAGGGCAACAAAAATGATGAGGGATTTGGAATGGGTCCCTTAAGAGGAGAGATTAAAGAGACTGGGACTTTTCAGCTTGGAAAAGAACAGACTAAGGGGGGATATGATAGAGGTCTATAAAACCACGAGTGGTGTGGAGAAAGTGAATAAGAAAAAGTTATTTGCTTGTTCCCATAACATAAAATTTAGGTGCCACTAAATGAAATAATAGGCAGCAGGTTTAAAACAAATAAAAGGAAGTTCTTCTTCACACAGCACACTGTCAACCTGGGGAACTCCTTGCCTGAGGAGGTTGTGAAGGTTAGGATTTTAACAGGGTTTAAAAAAGAACTAGGTAAATTCATGGAGGTTAAGTCCATGAATGGCGATTAGCCAGGATGGGTAAGGAATGGTGTGCCCAGCCTCTGTTTGTCAGAGGATGGAGATGGATGGCAGGAGAGAGATTGCTTGATCATTACCTGTTGTGTCCCCTCCCTGTGGGGCGCCTGGCATTGGCCACTGTCGGCAGACAGGACACTGGGCTGGACGAACCTTTGGTCTGACCCAGTATGGCCGTTTTTCTGTTCTTATGTAAAAAATGAAGGTGTCTCCTGATTGGTCATTTCTCCTCCATAGGGGATGATGTCACATCCCTGGAAAATTCTGCTATTGGGAATGTGAAATTATTGCATAGAGGAAACTTCATATTTATTTTTAGACAGGCACAATGGAACAAGGAAACTCTTCTTATTAACCTCAGAGGGTAAGTCACGGAAAACAACTGATTCTAAAGGGAAAATAACAGAGGCAGGAGAGCCGTTCACCCGAAAGCCAGAACATAGAAACAAGGGAATGTCTCATTTATGAAGGCAATTATCGAAGGCAGTACTTGTGATTTCAACAGAAATCTCTGTTCTCCAGATGAATTAGATGAATGGATCTGCTAGAATAACAGAAAAAGGAACAAATGTCAATTCTGTTGCTTAGAAAGATAAAAATTAAATGCTCCTAAGTTAAAAGATTCGTTGCTAAAGCCTCCAGATTTGTTTGCTCTCTGCACTTGGAACTCCAAATACAGCCCACAAAGACCCCTAAGCCGCCACATGAACAATTTTTTATATCCCTGTTGGTGTTTGCTGTGATTTGAAAAGGAACCAAAGGGAGTTACGCACACAACTATCTTTGATTGTCAAGGAGACATGGGCACCTAAACTTTCTATTCTCTATCAATACCTTATGGTCTAATTTGCTCCCATTGTTCTGGTGTCTGCTCAGAGAAGGAAGGGTCCTTCTCCCACAGTGTGAGGGTATCTGCTGTGGATGTGGCAAAAGCAAATGGGCAGTGGATGGTTGTCTTGTAAATGTAAATGCAGACAGTGACTGAATTTTGGGAGCGGGCAGAGGTACACAGATCCCATCCCCAATCAAGCATGGAGAAAATAACTGTTGCGGGACTTCAAAATCCTGTAGTCAAGGACTGATCGTTTTTCCTTTAGAATCCTAGAATGCCAGGGCTGGCAGAGACCGCAGGAGTCATTGAGTCCAACCCCTTGCCCAAAGCAGGACCGACCCAACTCAATCATCCCAGCCAGGGCTTTGTCTCTTCGGCAGACTAAACAAGACCAAATTATAAAGGACTTTTATAAAGCCAGAAATAATGGCTTATTTCTCTAAGATACATATGAGCCATAGCGTGCTAAAGAATGGTTTGGCCATTACTTTGTATCTATTAATAGAATGACAACTTCTACTGTAGGGAGGCTGGCTGGTGATGGGATGTTTATTCTCAGGGAGGAATTGATCTGAAGAGGTGCCCAAACCCATATCCCCCATTACCATTCTCTCTTTAATTCCACTGCCACCA